ACAATATTTGGTGCAAACATATAACAGTGATTGCAACATTTTGCATGCTCACATTAGAATTCAATAACATCACACAAGTGCGTGGCAGTAAATGTTGTATTTTGTTCCAAACCAACTTCTGAATGGCATGTTCTCCATTCAGTGTACATCAAAACCACTATTTAAAAGAGTCAACTAATTTGCTATTGTGACATGGCACTTTCCCCCCCTTTTCTCAAGGAATTAGTACTTTACCTCAGGACAATTCCAATCTCTTCTAGTCCAGAAAGTAAGGGGCCATTATTATAAAGACACTGCTGTCCCACCTTAAACAGACAAGTTTATGAAGACTGAGGTCTATAAAGAATTACTTACCTGGTCTGCAAAATTATCCAATGCCACTGCGGGAGGGAGTGTTAAGAAGAGAAATACAAACTTACATGCTCAATATGCTATTCTCAACTAATTTCTCAACTAATATAAACTTAAAAAACAACAAATAGTCTGGTAGCACTTTAAAGACTAACAAAACACTTCTGAAGATGAAAGCTCATGATACCATCTACATGTTTTGTTAGTCTTCAAAGTGCTATCAGACTATTTTTTTTTTAAGTTTATCCTGTACAGACTAACAAAACATGTAGATGGTATCATGAGCTTTCATCTTCAGAAGTGTTTTGTTAGCCTTTAAAGTGCTACCAGACTATTTGTTGTTTACGTTTATCCTGTACAGACTAACTCGGCTACCCCCTGAAGCTTTTCAACTAATATAAATATGACAGGACTAAAATACTCAGGTGTGAGTGTTCTAGACTAGGGAAGTGAGTGTAAAATACAAAACACCCATCAAGTGAGGTATGTCAAAACAGTTCCAAACACTCCAACATGCAAGGGATCAGCTGACCTCAGAAGGAACATGGTTCCACTTCTCCCTGCAACCATATGCTAAATCTCACTAAAAAATTATAGCAAGGAAATATCTGACCATATTCCGTCAAGAGCGTGAAAGGCTTTATATTAGGGATAATGGCTATCCGGTTAACTGATAAACTCCTGACAGGCTGGCTCAGTCCCAGCCAGCCCGTCTGACTTTTAAATGAAGAGCACTAAGAGGAGCCGCCAGCCACCTCGCGCTGTGGCTTCTGCTAGAGAGGCAGCAGGGAGAGGCAGCAGGCGGGAGCCAATCCATGAGGGGAGCCAGTGTAAAAACAGGCTTCCTCCTGCTGCCCCACGGTGGTGCTCTGGCCCAAGCTCCCTGAAGAGATAGGCTGTGCCATCATCCCAGGGAGCAAATTCTGTCTGCGGCAAGCCCAGCATCCCATGAAGCAGTCTCTGTCTGCAGGGAGTTCAGGACCCTCGCAGATGGGGGATGCTGCCACCCAGCACTGCTTCCTCTGCTACAGCCTGTTTCTAAACCAGCTCCCCCTACCACCCATGATATTGCCTCTGCTACAGAGGCAGCAGTGTGAGGTGGCAGGGGGCTTCCTGGGAATGGGAGCACATTGGCTGCCAGCCCTGCCCCCTGAGGGAGCACTAAGTAACCACGATTATTAATATAACTGATTTCCAACACCCCTACTTTATATTTTCACTAGAAGATTTATCCAGCATTGCCTGGGTCCTTAACACAATTTTTGTTTTTTGCAAAATAAAATGGATCATTGCTCTGGAGTGGGGATGGGGATGAAGAGCTCAGTATGCAGGCTACACCGGGGGAGAGAGAGGACTATCCTAGTCATCTCCCACCACAGTAGCTTGGGGCCAGGTGAGAAGCACCTTGCTATAGTTACTGCTGCTCCAGCAGGCTCACCTGA